GAGTTTAAGAATAACCAAGTCTTTTTATATTTTCTCCAAGTTGTAGTTTTACATTGCCTGGGATGGTTAGTTCCCCTCCACCCTCCAACATTTTTAAAAAATTTCAAACATACAGAAAAGTTGGAGGGAAAAAAAAGGAGTACAATAACCATTCATATTTCCTCTGTGTGAATCCAATAATTAACATTTGCTACAGATGTTTTATTTCTTTTTTCTCTGTATATACTTTTTATTTTATTTATTTAAAAAATATATTATATTGATTTTTTACAGAGAGGAAGGGAGAGGGATAGAGAGTTAGAAACATCAATGAGAGAGAAACATCGATCAGCTGCCTCCTGCACACCTCCCACTGGGGATGTGCCGGCAACCAAGGTACATGCCCTTGACCGGAATCGAACTTGGGACCTTTCAGTCCGCAGGCCGACGCTCTATTCGCTGAGCCAAACCGGTCAGGGCTCTGTATTAACTTTTTAATCTGAAACATTTAGGGTAAGTTATACTAGTATGTATTATGATTTTTCACTGTTAAATACTTACAAAAATAAAGACATTTTCCTAATAACAACAACTTCATCCATTATTACATCTAAGAACATTAACAATAATAATCATCAAATCATCAAATATCTATTCCATGTTCAAATTTCCTTAATTATCTCAAATTGCTTTTGTAGCTATTTTTTCCACCAAGCAGGATCCAGAGTTTATACATCACATGTGATTGTTTTGCATTCTCTTTTGGCCTAGAACATAAGCAGATGTGTATAAAAAGAGACCATAAACAGTTTATTCATGTTAACTAATTGGTATAAGGGTTGAAGGGAATGATCCTGCTATTATATAGTACATTACTTTTGACTCTCCTTCCCATAAGAATCTCAAAGATAGTTTTTCAAATTATTGCCTATAATCTGGATCCATTAACATTGTCCTAAATATGAGAAAAGTCAGTAAAATTTGGAAAAAGATGCATACCTTTTTTACTCAAATTCTGTTTTTAATGTCTTTGAAGCAGTGTTCTTTTTTTTTAAAATTATCTTTACTGTTGAAAGTATTATAGATGTCCCTCCCCCCTTTTTTCCCACTGACCCCTTCACCTCCTACCCACCCTTCCCAGGCCCTCACCACATTATTATTTGTGTCCATGGGCTATGCATATATGCATATAAGTTCCCTGGTTAATTTCTCCCCACCTCTCCCACCCCCACCTTTCCTCTGAGATTAAAAAAATATATATGTTTTTATTGATTTCAGAGAGAGGAAGGGAGAGGGAGAGAGATAGAAACATCAGTGATGAAAGAGAATCATTGATCGGCTGCCCCCTACACGCCCCCTAATGGGGATTGAGCCTGCAAGCCTGGGCATGTGCCCTGACTGTAATGGAACTGTGACCTCCTGGTTCATGGGTCGACATTCAACCACTGAGCTACACTGGCTTGACTGGAGTAGTGTTCTTGTTTGTGTTTGTATGTGGTTTTCCCACAATGAAATTTTTAAAAAAATAATTCTTTATTGTGGAAAGTATTACATATGTCCTCTTTTCCCCCCATTGACTCCCTCCAGACTACCCTGCCGCCCACCCCAGGCCCGTACCTAACCCCCTTGTCTGTGTTCATGGGTCATACTATATGCATACAAGGTCCTTGGTTGATTACTTCCCACCCCCACCTTCCCCCATCTTCCCTCCGTGATTCCGCACTCTCTTTCATGCTTCCATGTCTCTGGATCCACTCTGTTCATCAGTTTATTTTGTTTTTAGATTCCACGTATGAGTGAGATCATGTGATACTTGTCTTTCTCTGACTGACTTATTTCACTTAGCATAATACTCTTCAGGTCCCTCCATGCTGTCTCAAAGGGTAAGAGATTCTTCTTTTTTACTGCTGCATAGTATTCCATGGTATAAATGTACCACAGCTTTTTTATCCACTCATCTACTGATGGGCACTTGGACTGTTTCCATATTTTAGCTATTGTAAATTGTGCTGCTATGAACATAGGGGTGCATACATTCTTTCTGATTGGTATTTTGGGTTTCCTAGAAGTGGGATCATTGGGTCAATTGGCAGGTCCATATTTAATTTTTTGAGGAAACTCCGTATTGTTTTCCATAATGGCTACATCAGTCTGCATTCCCAGCAGCAGTTTACTAGGGTTCCCTTTTTTCTACATTCTTGTCAGCCTTTGTCATTTGTTGTTTTGTTGATGGTAGCCATTCTGACAGGTGTGAGGTGATACCTCATTGTCATTTTAATTTGCATCTCTCTGATGATCAGTGACTTTGAGCATTTTTTCATATGTCTCTTGGCCATCTGTATGTCCACTTTGGAGAAGTGTCTATTTAGGTCCTTTGCCCAATTTTTTTTAAATCCTCACCCAAGGATATTTTTTCATTGAGTTTTAGAGAGATTGGAAGGGAGGGGAAGAGAAGGAGAGAGAGAGAGAGAAAGAGAGAGAGAGAGAGAGAGAGAGAGAGAGAGAGAGAGAGAGAGAGAGAGAGAGAGAGAGAGAGAGAGAGAGAGAGAGAGAGAGAGAGAGAGAGAAAGAGTGATTGGTTGCCTCTTGCACACACCCTGACCAGGGCCAGGGATCGAGCCTGCAATGGAGGTACATACCCTTGACTGGAATTGAACCCAGGACCCTTCACTCCGAGGACCAACACTCTATCCACTGAGCCAAACCAGCTAGGGCGTTTGCCCATTATTTAATTGGATTGTTTGTCTTCCTTCTGTTAATTTGTATGAGTTCCTTACATATTTTAGGTATTAACCCTTTATCAGATGTATCATCGCCAAATATATTCTCCCATACAGTGGGCTCTCTTTTTGTTCTCTTGATGTTTTCTTTTGATGTAGTCCTATTTGTCTCCTTAGTTTCCTTTGCCCTAGGAGATGAATCCATAAACATATTGCTACAAGAGACCTACATCAAAATGTTTTTTCTTGCATTAGATGAATATACTTATCAATTGCCTTAAAATGTGTGTGTGTGTGTGTGTGTGTGTGTGTGTGTGTGTGTGTAACTTGGATGTAATGGCCTTGGCTAGAAATTAACATAGTTAAAAAAAGTATAGCTTAATATTCAAAAGTCTCCACAGTTTTGGCTTCGGTTACTTCTATAACTTCATTTTTTCTACTGTTCTTTGTTTACCTAATCCTCCTTACAAAGTGAAATAATTGTTTCTCTTATTTACTGTCCTTTACTCAACCTCGACTGTTTATTTCTGTAAGCTTTGTTATGTCTTTGCTTCTGCCTATTGTCAAATCCTCCCCATCTTTCTTTTCGGGCCCAGCTTATATCCCTCACCAAGTTGGAGTAGTTCTTCCTTCTTTGACTACTATGGCTCTTTATCTGTACTTCTCTTATGGCACTTTCTGCTTTTTATTTAGAATCACATGTATTTATCATTACTATGTAACTGTACATAATTTGAGGTAGAATCTGTGTCTGTATCATCTTTATATCCTCCACATTGTTAATCATCTAGTTGGTGCTCAGTAAATAACTGTTAACTGAGTAATTAAATATTCTGTAATAAATATCTTCACTTTCCTAGTAATGGGCCAGTTGACCTGATCAAATTCATTCATAGCTAACCTTAGCTATTTGGCTCATTGTGGAATCAACTTGTGCAGTTACAGCTTTATATTTAAATGTGACCATGTGTAAGTTTAGATTTAATATCAGAAATATTGTGTGGTTTCTTTTAACCTCTTTCTGCAAATCTTTCTTTTCTGGATAAATTATTTATAATGTGGTTCTAGAAAGTTTTTCACCTGTATCAGACTAGACATGTTGTTGGTATTTCCTGAATTATCCCCCAATATCATTAGCAAAACTAAGAGGAAAAATGGGATCAGAATGTTACTGAGAGGGACTATCCCTTAGGAGATAGTCCCCTGAGAATTCTGAATCTTAGCCCAACCCACCTCATAGGGCGACTAACAAGAAATTGTCTTTGTGAGAGTTATATATTGAGAACTATATTGGGCATTGACTTGAAATGAACTTTGAAGGGAGATGATGAGGAAAAGGGAAATAATGCTGTGAAGAAATTACTGGGCTTGTGTAGGAAAGGTGAACTCATCTTTTTTTGATGCTTTTAATGCATCTTAATATATTCAGTTAGTGGCACTGTTTTATCAAAGAAAGAGAACCTGAGTGTTCTAGCCCCTTCTGCAAAGGACCGCCTGTGTCAGGAAAAGTAGATTTACCTACTTAGTTCTTTTCAATGTCCTTTACTTCTTTTTTAACCCTTTTGGGTTTAGCTTTTAGCTATAGAGGATTATAAATTAACTAGAGGCTCAGTGCATGAAATTCACGCACAGGTAGTATCCCTAGGCCTGGCTGGCGATCAGGGCCGATCAGGTTCTCTGCTTCTCTGCCTCCCCACCTCCTCCTTCCCTCGCTCCCTCAACACCACGCTGCCCCCACCTCAGTGCAGGTCGCCCACCATGTTTGGCGATGCCCCCTGGTGGTCAGTGCATGTCATAGCGAGCAGTCAAACTCCCAGTTTCCCGGTCAAACTCCTTAGGAGACAATTTGCATATTAGCCTTTTATTATATAGGATTCTTGAGGCTGAGCATTACTGGTCACTAAATGGCCATCTCTGTATGCATTTGGGATTAACTGGAGGTGTTTAGCTCTCTCTCTCTCATCAACAGAGTTCTAGTGAGTACATTTTAATGGGGATATGAGTAGGTGCAGAAGCTTGCAGGAAGGAGCTGCTCAGGCAACATTTCCAGAGAAGGAATGATAGAACACTTAAAATTCCCTTGCTATCTTTAATAAAAATATTCCAAGGAATCTCAATTCATCAGAGAGACTTCCTGGGTTAGACTAGCAGAGGCTCTGGCTTGACAGGTCTCTTTCTCCATCTCAGACTCTTCCTCAGCCCTCATGTGAGGGATGTTAGACAGGTCCACTTCGATCTGCTAATCTCTAGGAGTTCAGTGTTTTATTGACACTAGTATTTTCTTCCTGCCTTGTTTTGTAGACTGGTCAAAAGAATGGATTTTTCAGAGGCTTACTCTGACACATGCTCTTCGGTTGGACTTGCTGCAAGGGAAGGCAATGTTCAAGTCTTAAGAAAACTGCTCAAAAAGGGACGGAGCGTTGATGTTGCTGATAATAGGGGATGGATGCCAATTCATGAAGCAGCTTATCACAACTCTATAGAATGTTTACGGATGTTAATTAACGCAGGTAAGGTAAATTCAAGGTATGGGAAGGGAGGCCTGCAAGCTGGATTAATAAGACATAAACCAATGGTAATATATGGCTTATTTGTTTCCCTTTCTATAACCATAAAATAACTGCCTGTGCATTGTTAAGGATGATAAGATTGCCTGCTATGGGTTGTAAATGTTGTCCTTTATTTGGTAGTGTCTGTGCTGGACCCATTTTTTATTGTCTGAGCACAATATGTTTAAGCATTTGGTAGTTCTGGTCATCGTTTTTCTTTTTTTTCCCCAAACAAAAGGAGCAGTGTTAGTGATATTGATGGTGTTAGTATTTTGCTTGAATTATTCTTTCTTTTTTATACTTTACAGTTTCCTTAAGTTTGGGAATCTTTCCAATTACTTTGACTTTGTATTTGCTGAGGACACAGAGAACAGGATGGACAAGGTCCTTGCCTTTATGGTGCTTATATTCCTGTTAGGAAGACAGTCAATAAATACCTAAACAGATAATAGCAAAAGGTAAAAGTATTATAAAAAAATTAAATAAAACAGAGTCATAGGACAGAGAGCAATCATGTGCTACTGCAAGTCTGTATTAGTTGACTTCATGCTTGTAACTGAAGACCAGCTATGTGGGAGTTTTTACACCACAGAAATCAGCCAGTGCTGCAAACCAATGATATAACCAGGTGTTTTTCCCCTCCCTGAGGCAGTTACACATTTGCTAGCACGCTACTGAGTGAAGGGCTCTGTAAACGAGCCTTAGTGGAAAATTCTGACACTCATGAAGGCATGAATTTGATAAACTGTGATCTCCCCCACATCAGGCAGCGCTAAGGGGCAGCGAACTCAGCCAGAAGCCGGGCTCACAGCTGGTGAGTGCAGCGGTGGTGGCGGGAGCCTCTTCCACCTCCGTGGCAGTCGGACATCCCCCGAGGGCTCCCAGACTGCCAGAGGGCGCAGGCTGAGGGACCCCCAAGTGCACGAATTTTGTGCACCAGGCCTCTAGTATAGGATAATTCTCTTGTCCCCTGTAAAAAGTGTCTTATATAATTTCTACTTCCTTGAACTTCATCTAACATTAGTAAACTGACAGAGATTCCTAAAATGTACCTTTTATAGATTCACTACAGTTATGAAGGTGCTCGGGCATACACAAAAAGAATGGAAGAGTCTGAAATGATTAGAAAGGTTTTGCTTTACTGTCTTTAATTTAGATCCAGAAACTAGTCCAAGAATCTTGGTCTTCTCATTCAAGTTGGAGAAGAACATAGAAATTTAATATGCGTATGTATGTATTTTTCACTTTGCTTTGTTTAAAGTGTTAGTACAAATAACAAATTTGCTTGTCTTTATTTTTCTTTGTTGGAAGTTTGGTGTCATAGATAATGAGATTTCAAGAAGCTTATTATCTTGGAGGGCAGTAAAGCTCTTCAGCTACAATGCATCATGCCACTCAGTATTAAACCATTTGCTGACTAAAGGTCACTTAAAGTTTTGTAATTAATTATAGCATATCACTAACAAATATTTTAATTTGGCAAATATATGATTTAATTCTTAGTATTTTTTATTAGTTCATGTTAAGAAAATATGCTTTCATATTGACCATGATAACAGATACTAACGATCCTTAGATAAACAAAGCAGCGTAGCATAGTGGTTAAGAGTTGTGTTCACATGGACCTGGGTTTTCCTGACTCCTCCATTTTATTGGTGTGACCTTGGACAGGTTTTTAAATCTCTGAGTAGTTCAGATTCTTCATCTGTAAGATAGAAATACTCCATCATTTCAGTTCAGGCCAGAAACTATGGGCCACTCCTAAGTCCTTCCTTTTTCTTATACCTCTCCCAGTTAGCAAATCTGTGTGTGTGTGTGTGTGTGTGTGTGTGTGTGCGCGCGCGCGCATGCGCGCGTATGTGTGTATGTTGTGTATGTATATATCTGAATGTATACAGACAGTCACACCATTTCTAACCATTGCCATAACCATTAATACCTTGGTCACATCATCTCTTGCCTGGATTGCTGCACTGGCATCCTAACAAATCTGTTCAGCCCGTCCTTCTTCCCCGTCCTACCACAGTTTAGTCTTAGTATTATCGCAGGGTTTCTTTTATAGTATGTCAGACCATATCTCTCTTCTCAAAGCTGTGCAATAGTTCCCCATTTCATTCTGAGTAAAAGCATTGTTTTATGGTGTTTCATAGTGTAGATGTGTAATATTTAATCATTCTCCTGTTAATGGACATTTTGTTTGTTTTCTAAAAGTTTGCTATTATAAGTGGTGCTTCATGCATCTATCATCTGTATCTATCTATCTATCTATCTATCTATCTATCTGGTGCTTATATTCCTGTTAGGAAGACAGTCAATAAATACCTAAACAGATAATAGCAAAAGGTAAAAGTATTATAAAAAAATTAAATAAAACAGAGTCATAGGACAGAGAGCAATCATGTGCTACTGCAAGTCTGTATTAGTTGACTTCATGCTTGTAACTGAAGACCAGCTATGTGGGAGTTTTTACACCACAGAAATCAGCCAGTGCTGCAAACCAATGATATAACCAGGTGTTTTTCCCCTCCCTGAGGCAGTTACACATTTGCTAGCACGCTACTGAGTGAAGGGCTCTGTAAACGAGCCTTAGTGGAAAATTCTGACACTCATGAAGGCATGAATTTGATAAACTGTGATCTCCCCCACATCAGGCAGCGCTAAGGGGCAGCGAACTCAGCCAGAAGCCGGGCTCACAGCTGGTGAGTGCAGCGGTGGTGGCGGGAGCCTCTTCCACCTCCGTGGCAGTCGGACATCCCCCGAGGGCTCCCAGACTGCCAGAGGGCGCAGGCTGAGGGACCCCCAAGTGCACGAATTTTGTGCACCAGGCCTCTAGTATAGGATAATTCTCTTGTCCCCTGTAAAAAGTGTCTTATATAATTTCTACTTCCTTGAACTTCATCTAACATTAGTAAACTGACAGAGATTCCTAAAATGTACCTTTTATAGATTCACTACAGTTATGAAGGTGCTCGGGCATACACAAAAAGAATGGAAGAGTCTGAAATGATTAGAAAGGTTTTGCTTTACTGTCTTTAGTTTAGATCCAGAAACTAGTCCAAGAATCTTGGTCTTCTCATTCAAGTTGGAGAAGAACATAGAAATTTAATATGCGTATGTATGTATTTTTCACTTTGCTTTGTTTAAAGTGTTAGTACAAATAACAAATTTGCTTGTCTTTATTTTTCTTTGTTGGAAGTTTGGTGTCATAGATAATGAGATTTCAAGAAGCTTATTATCTTGGAGGGCAGTAAAGCTCTTCAGCTACAATGCATCATGCCACTCAGTATTAAACCATTTGCTGACTAAAGGTCACTTAAAGTTTTGTAATTAATTATAGCATATCACTAACAAATATTTTAATTTGGCAAATATATGATTTAATTCTTAGTATTTTTTATTAGTTCATGTTAAGAAAATATGCTTTCATATTGACCATGATAACAGATACTAACGATCCTTAGATAAACAAAGCAGCGTAGCATAGTGGTTAAGAGTTGTGTTCACATGGACCTGGGTTTTCCTGACTCCTCCATTTTATTGGTGTGACCTTGGACAGGTTTTTAAATCTCTGAGTAGTTCAGATTCTTCATCTGTAAGATAGAAATACTCCATCATTTCAGTTCAGGCCAGAAACTATGGGCCACTCCTAAGTCCTTCCTTTTTCTTATACCTCTCCCAGTTAGCAAATCTGTGTGTGTGTGTGTGTGTGTGTGTGTGTGTGCGCGCGCGCGCATGCGAGCGTATGTGTGTATGTTGTGTATGTATATATCTGAATGTATACAGACAGTCACACCATTTCTAACCATTGCCATAACCATTAATACCTTGGTCACATCATCTCTTGCCTGGATTGCTGCACTGGCATCCTAACAAATCTGTTCAGCCCGTCCTTCTTCCCCGTCCTACCACAGTTTAGTCTTAGTATTATCGCAGGGTTTCTTTTATAGTATGTCAGACCATATCTCTCTTCTCAAAGCTGTGCAATAGTTCCCCATTTCATTCTGAGTAAAAGCATTGTTTTATGGTGTTTCATAGTGTAGATGTGTAATATTTAATCATTCTCCTGTTAATGGACATTTTGTTTGTTTTCTAAAAGTTTGCTATTATAAGTGGTGCTTCATGCATCTATCATCTGTATCTATCTATCTATCTATCTATCTATCTATCTATCTATCATCTATCTATCATCTATCTATCATCTATCTTTGTGCACATGGATGAGCATTTCTGTATGATGGAGTTTAGAAGTGAAATTGCTAGTGCAAGAAGTGTTCAAAGTTAAAATGTTGATAGATATTACTAAATTATCTGCAATATTAATCAGAACCTAAGTTTAAACTAGTTTACACAATAGGAGGGAATGCAATAGAGTAGCTCATGTAAATGTTAAGCCTGCGTGGTAGGTCAGTGCAGGCATTGCTGGATGCTAGTACTCAGAGTGACGTCATTAGGCCTCCAGGTCTCCCTTTCTTTCACCCCTGCTTTTCTCTGTGGTGATTGTATTTTCAAGCAGGCTTTCTCTTTGGAAGTTTAGCATGCCTCATATTTAAAGAGATTTTTATATATTCTGGATAGTCTTTGCTGTTATATGTGTTTCAGATATTTTACTTTTATCCTAGATTTTAATTTTTAAATTGTGTTTAATTTCTTTGTAATGCATTCAAATCTCTTCCTTTTCATTCACTTTTCCCCTTTATCTTAGATACATGATGAAATCTCTTAAACAGTGTCTAAGAATTTCGCACATGAAATTCCTGTGGAAATTGTTTTATATCTAATGTTTTCTAAATAAAACATAATGAAATGATGTACATTGTGCAAAGTGCTTGACTACAAATGTATCTGAAATTGACATTTATCTATCACCCTTTGTGATTGGCACATCTTAAATATATTTGGCTTCATTAAATTGTGTTTCAACTGGCGAGATAAGGTTCTGATCTTAATATTTTACCCCTGTTAATCTCTACCTAAATATTTAACCTCTACTTAAAACCATGTGGTTTTGCTTTCCCTCTTAGGGGTTTGCAGAAAACAAAATGAAAATCTACCACCTATCATTTAAACAAGTAAGCAAGTTTATTGTTTATAAGTAAAAGGACACTTTGTTTCAGGAAACACGGTTGTGAATACCTTGTCATTTTGGCACAGGGGTCAGTAGCTGGCATTGGTCCAGCTGACATGGCTCCAATCCTCAAAAGTGCAGCCAAAAAAGAACTCATGAGTTGTCATAAAAGAACTTAAGTGCCCTTTGGGTTTTTCCATTAGGAAATATTTAATGACCTTACCATTTACAATTTCAGTAAGGAGAATAGAAGCAGAAACTGCTTTGCCTTTCAGTGAGAAGGAAATAGAGGTTATGAGTCATTTTTTCCAAGAATCCCTCTTGTAGGGAAAGGAAGAGAGTGAGAGGGTGGTGGTTCATGGTTCAGTACCAGATAGATAAAGTCTCTTTGGTCCCCACATATCAATTAAGGAGGGCAGTTGGTCATATATATATTTTTTAATATCTCAATTTAGGAGTAGTAAACTGTCTTTACTGTTTCTCATCGAGCGTGAGAAGTGCCTTTTCTTTACTCCATAGATAATTGCACAGGAGGTTTCATTTCTCTTTCTTAAGATGTGTGTGTGTGCACATCACTAAAGTTAGTCCTCACTGAGGTGGGAATTAAACACCTTTCCTTTAGGGGGAGAATTTAAATAATTTATTTGGAAAATTTCTGCTATTTGAATATATCTTCTCTTCCATTTATTCAGTCATTTATATATGCATGGACTCATGGATATTTATTTTATACATTGGGTGACAATCCAGTATAATGTAATTGAATTTTTTTGCCCATATTATTTTACCTTGATCATTGAGTGCTCTTTCATACTGGCTTCTGTGTTTGTTTGACATAGCCCCATTTTTTAGCACTTTAAAATTTTCTGGACCTACAAGACACTCCGGGCTCATTTAAAAAATTAAAACAGAAACAATTTTTATTGATTTCATAGAGGAAGGGAGAGGGAGAGAGAGAGAGAAACATCAAAGATGAGAGAGAATTATTGATTGGCTACCTCCTGCACACTCCCCCCTGGGGATTGAGCCTGCAACCTGGGCATGTGCCCTGAGTGGGAATTGAACCGTGACCTCCTGGTTCATAGGTTGACGCTCAACCACTGAGCCACGCCAGCCCGGTTGGAGTGCATTTTATTTTGGAAATGCAATCTTCATTAACTATTAGACTGTAGTCTTAGGTTAGAAAAGGAGTTTGTTTTTTTTATGTTTTTTTTTTTGCATTCCATTCCTATGACTTAATTATTTTATAACTGGAAGTTTATTCCCCTTGGTCTCCTTCACCTATTTTGCCCATCCCAAATCCCTCTCCCCTCTGGCAACCAGTAATCTGTTCTTTGTATTCATAAGTTTTTTGTGTGTATGTTTTGTTGTTTTGTTTGTTCATTTATTTTGTTTTTAAGATTTCACCTGTAAGTAAAATTGTATGGTGTCTCTGTTATTTCATTTAGCATAATACCCTGAAAATCCATTCATGTTGTCACAAATGTCAACATTTCATTCTTTTTTATGGCTGCATAGTATTACATTGTGTGTGTGTGTGTGTGTGTGTGTGTGTATGTATGTGTATGTGTATGTGTATATTGCCACATCTTCATTGTCCATTCATCCATCAGTGACACTTGGGTTGTTTCCATATCTTGGCTATTGTAAATATGCTGCAGTGAACATAGGATGCATATATCTTTTTGAATTAAAGTTTTTTCCCCTGCTTCATTTAAATGGCCAGAAGTGGAATGTTTTAAATTACCTCAGTGTTACTATTTGAATAGCTAGGAAGTAATAGAGATGATATCATTTCTCTCATGGAAATTTAGAAATAAAAAAATCAAATTTATTAATACTTCAGTAAATCTTGCTTAAGCAAATCTTCGGTGTATCCGCTCCAGATTTTGCATTTATGTTACCTTTCAACTTATGCCACTCTCTTTCCTTTACCCATCAAAAATTAAAGATGAGAAAATGAGTGGGCCAAAGTTATGTGTAAAGAATACCAGAGACCTGTTCACACTATGGCCCCTGTAAAACTTGTTTTGACTCTTTTAGAAGAGTTTTAAACTATGAGCCCTCCCATCTATAATCCTATCTAATAAAAGAGAAACATGGTAATTAACCGTAACTTTGCTACCCTTCCCACTGGCTAATCAGGGCGATATGCAAATTAACTGCCAACCAAGATGGCGGCCGGCAGCCAGGCAGCT